GTAACTAACAAACTGTAACTAACTGTAACTAACAAACTAACTGTAACTAACAAACTGTAACTAACTGTAACTAACAAACTGTAACAAACTGTAACTAACAAACTGTAACTAACTGTAACTAACAAACTAACTAACTGTAACTAACAAACTGTAACAAACTAACTAACAAACTCTAACAAACTGTAACTAACAAACTGTAACTAACTGTAACTAACTAACTAACAAACTGTAACTAACAAACTGTAACTAACTGTAACTAACAAACTAACTAACTGTAACTAACTGTAACTAACAAACTCACTTTGAGCCAAATAGCACATAAACAAAAATAACCAACAAGAAAGGAGGTCATCATCGAACCTGAAGCAGAGCTGAGACCAGACAAACGCTGAAAACAGGTTTTTACCAAAAGAGTTCAATCATTCACATTAAGCCTCTTCTTTAACTAATAAAACTTGTTTTTCAGTGTTGAATACTGGTCATTTCTTGGAGGAATAAAAATAAATACATTATATTGATGTACACAAAACATCACTTTTTAAATAAATGTAGAACAGATTGAAGGAATGTATGTCCATATTAAATACATTTTATTACATAAATATTTACAGATATGTGACTTATCATATGGAAATAAGGATTAAGTCAAATTCAGTCATAATGACCTCATATTTTCAGATTCCTGCTTTAAAAGCTACATTTTGATCCCTGGATCATCCTGATATCATCAGCAGATCCAGAGATATGACTTCATTTGTCTTGTAGGTTATGATAATACATTACTGTTTGGTCTGAATACTGATTTTATGTAAATTTATTGGGTCATTTTTGATGTCAATATAAAGAGGAAACCTCAAATATTATTTGTATATTAAGATTTCCCAGTTTGGAAGAAACAAAACTTTGCTAGCTCACAGAGAAAATTTCAAAACTTTTAAGGCGTTTTTCCTCAAAATCAGGTTTTGTTGTTGCTACTGCTGAAAAAAATGCTTCAAATTTTTTAGGATTATATTTCAGACAGTTCATTCAAATGATACATTGATAAGACATTAATTCATTACATTCTGACAAAATGGTATTTTTGCACTTGTAATCTGTAATGTTAGTGGTTTAATACTAATTTTAGTTTTATAATAACTGATTCAGATGCTTATAAAAAACAGTTTTATTACTTCGTGCATTAATAAGTTCTGTTCACTATTATCTTTATTTTATTTTCCTAAGCTGGCTAAATTGACTTCCTTAATGTTTTACGGAATTATTTTTATATAAGGCAAAAATAGTAAGAGTATTTTAGAGAGTGAATTTAAACATTGTTGTTGTTGCACAGACACAATAATTCAGATCATTCTTCAGTCGTGCTGTTCTGAATAAAAGCCGTTAAAACCTAAATGAGGGGATATTATAAAGTAAAAGAAGATTTAGACACATAGTTTTACTTCCAGTTGAGTATTTGGACTGTTTGATGTCAGAACTTGTGGTTTAAATTAAAATAAGTCCTTTCTGCTGAACAGGATGAGGATAAATCACAGCTAACTGCAGGTTTGTGGATCTGAAGATGCCTTCATGTGAGCTCATTTAGCTCGTTAGCATGCTAACAATAGCTCCCCAACATCCACTTAAACCTGCAGTTTGCCAACACCTGGGTTCACCAGGACTAGTTATTAATAACCACTATGTTTATAACTGTTGGTAATAATCTCCTTAATAAACACAGATTAAATAATCCAACAGAAACTAACACCACAGATTACATTCGAGCTAAAGCTAACAGTTAGCCAGCTAACCAGCCGTTTATAAATCACGCGAGCAGCTAACAGCAGAGGTCCAGCCGTGGTTCTGGAGGTCCGTACCTGTTCATCCCAACCAGGTGTTGTCATCTGCGACCGAACCGGCCGAACAGCTCAGTGTTRGCTCAGTCCAAACATCCCAGGAAACATCTCCCAGCAGCTTGTTGGTGCTGAAGCTAAGCATGAATATTGCTGCTTGTCTGGACCCGTTCTTCTCGAACTGATCCAAGTCTCGCGATATTTCAGGAGCTGAAGGGAAATAAAATACATCACAACACCTTTTATCATCATCATCATCACATACTGTTTTATTGAACCATTTACCTTTTATTTTATTTATTTTGTAAATGCGGATTTAGGTTCTGTGACTTCTTTACTTTTCATTTAGTAAAAAAATAATTTAACTTTAATAAAAACTGTTTTACACAGAAACACATTAAAAATTCTTCAGTTCCTTCTGATTATTTGAAGTCTGCTTCAGCTGCTGCTCTGACT